AGGAGGAGCGAGAGCAGGTAGGCGAGGGGAAGGCGAGGGGAAGGCGAGGGGCCGGAGGCCGGCGTGCGGGCTGTGCCAGCCGCCCCGGCCGGGCAGCGCTGCCGGGGCAGGGGCGGGAGCCGGGTACAGCGCCCCGCTGCTTGTGAGACTGCCGGCGGGGAGCGTCGCATCGCCCCGCACAGCCGCGGGCGGGAGCTGGCGACCGTCCCCCTTCCCCCTCCGTGCGGACGGGCCCAGACCTCTAACGGGGTCTGTGAGGGCGACCGGGTCGTGACAGCTCGCTGCCGCTTCAGGTGTGTGTGCAGCGCTGGGTGCCTGTGCCTGTGCGTGTGTGTGCGTGTGTGCGCGCCTGTGCGTGTGTTCTACCCCGTTTCAGATGGAGCGATCTCCCCCTACAGGGCTGCGCTTCCAGCACTGCAAATTAAAACCACACAATCTAACCCGAACCAATACGCTAATGAGAGATGCTGGTTTTGAGGCAAAAGGGTAAGGGTTTTGTCTGTAAGATTACGCTTCGGTCCTATGTCCACAGAAAGAGAGACGGGCCCTTTGCTTTGCAGAACGCAGCTTGCAAGAAGTGTCGCCAGATGTTGTTGTGCCCAAGGACCGGAGTTTTAAAAGCCAGTCCTTGTACGTGTTAGTAGGTTTCTACCCTAAACCTGGGGGGTTGGCTATTGCAATTTTAATAAAAGCTACATTCCGTGATAAAAAGTATCACATTTTGTTTCTTTTAAAGTTTGCAGTGGGATGTTAATTATTTATTTCACGTCAGTACGTTGTAAATGTGAAGTCTGAACAGTAAGAAACCTCCTTACCACGTACAGTTACTCAGTGTTTCCAGACATCTCGAGGAACAAGATCGCCGGAGCATGTGTTAATTGTAAGGCACATCATTTACCGCCATACAGTATGAAGCCCTAATCCTGCACGAAGCTTCTTCCAGAGAGTCCTGAATGACGTGAGGTTCCCTGGAGCACCAGGGCCCAAAACATGAGCGTATTGCTGCAGTGCATCTCTGTGATGTAGATGAGGTCATAGGGAAGAGAGAGATATTCCTGAAGTCAGTACAAGTGTAGGACACGGCATCTGGGTGAATCACAGTCTCTCTGTAGGCTGCAGGCTCTAGATGATAATATAATCACACATTAATAGGTCTGAATTTCTATCGATTTTCTTTTGGAACTGTCTTTAGGAACGCTTTTTCTTTTTTAAAAGCCTTTATGCTGACCATTATCTGCTCATAATTTTTTTTTCCGTAGTCTGCATTTGTCATCCTTTGGCACTACCTTGCTGTTGTTTATACCTGTAACAACTGCTGGTCGTCCTTGTCTCTTCACGCTTGTTCCTCAGCTCCTGATGTTTCCTAGGGGAGAGGTGGGTGACTGAAACGTCATTTCCCTTAGAAGGAGAAAACCTCAACCTAGTTTAGGTCTCTGCGACCCAGTGGCTGGAGTGTTTGAATCATAATCATTAGGGACTTCATGCCTCACACTTTTAAGTGCCAGATGCAAACCTCAGAAACGCATGCCTTCCTCCTGGGGCCAAACCTCTTCTCTTTGCTTCTCTTCCTTGTCTTTGACACATTTTCATGTTTTTTTTCTTTTAACGCACAGAGGAATAAATATTGTGCTCAGTTTCATCAGGCTGTAACTGGAGAGGGGAAAATACCTACTTTTCTGGCTTCGGTGAGCTCTGATTTGCTTTTCATATGGGAGTTTTGAGCCCTCCGCCTTCCGCACACGGGTCTTTTCCTCCTGTGCAGGAAGATGTCACTAGCCTGGCAGGAGCATCTGCCTACCTCACAGGAGTCCTCGGAGAGGCAGCACAGACAACAGAAAAAGTGAAAAGACTTAAAAGAGGACTTACGGACTTCCTCAAAAAAACGTCTCCAGCAAGCACGAAGTCTTGGATATCTGGACTGACCTTCAGCTCTCTAGACTGTACTAATGAAGCTCAGGAAGGGTCTCGGAATATGTGGAGGGAGCTGAGCAAACAGGATGGTTCTGCACAGCCGTGGTCCCCCAGGAGGCCTAGCTGTTCTCCTGAAATATATTGCTAGTGCCTTGCTCCTGTGGCTCTTTGCCATCACACCTTTTTGCTTCTTTTCTGATCTTTCTGTATGGCTATCCCCAATCCTGCTTCTCCATCCGTGTCTTTTCTGGGCAGGAGCAGAGAAAATAATGGAGAGAATAATACCCTCTTTCAGGAAGAGGCTGCTGTGAATTTACGGGTCACAGTTAGCATTAGGGTTGTCAGCAAAGTAGGTTTTTTATTCGGATAGTCCAGGAATTGAGGGTCTTCATCCTGGGTCCCCATGGCCACAGAGGCTACAGGAGAGACCAAAGCTAGTAAAAATGCTTCTTGTCTTCAGACTCAGTGATCGATTAGATTAGTAGAAACCCATCACCATCTCCGGTTTCTCTGGGGTGGCTGAAGAACAGACACAGCCGGCCAGATGCTACTGCCCCAGCGCCGGAGGAGTTACCTGCAGTGGAGGGCTGGATGGTAGCTGGGGTAGGTGAAGGTGCTAACATCCCAGGCAGCCCTGGCACACTCCCCTTGTTTAAAATGCGGCTGCTCCACGCTGCACGCATCGTCTTCTGCCAGCGCCAACTGCCCCGTCACCACGTGGGACACATGTCCAAGCTGGGCTGTCCTTGGTGAGAGCGGATGGAGCTTGGATGCAGACATAATCTTGCTGGCTTCTGCTGTCCTGACGATAACCTCTGGAAGATACCCGGGAGCGCTGGATTAACAAAGGGTTTTTTCACTTGTAGCGTTTTAGTGAAGACCATTGCATGGAAATGGGACTCAGTGGGGTCTGCATGCAAAGTCTTTGCTTCTTACTTCATCCCTGAAGGAGGTGTACCGTCAGCCCTGCTGTTCACCACGGTGGTTTTTATTAACTTTTAAGCCTCCTGTGCCCTAATCCATGAGGAAAAGCCCTACGGCAGCATGCACTGCTGAAGAGGTGCCAGTTGCAGGCTAGGCATTTTTGAGGTCAGATAGTTTCATGTCCAGGTAAGCAAGGTGAGGTGGTGACCGGGCTTCTCGCTGTACCTTAATGCACACACACACGCCCCCACTCTGAACAGTTTATCACCGCTGTACAAATTAACACCGCCAAGTATCCCATGCTCGCTGTAACAAACGCCCCCGAGACGGACGTAGCGATGGCCTTGGCTGTGCCGCCATGGATGCCAGCTGGGCTTTGCGCCCAGGCCGTGCGCTCCTCACCCTGCCAGCATCATCCCCGGCGCGGCCTGCCGGCAGGGACAGGCCCCGAGCCCTCCCGAGGGGTCCCCGCCGCCGGGCCGCCCATGCCCAGCGGGCCG